GACTCATCTACAGTCCTGACGAATTTCATGTTGATCGGTGCAGCTGTTTTTGTGCTACGGTTGACCGAATATCACTGAAAAAAATAAAATAAATAAGCAGTACAAAAACCATATGACTCCCGCTTACACTTGGCGTGCGGGGGTCATAATAAAGATGAGTGATTAATTTTTTATGAAGAGGGAAAACATGTAAGCGTTACATAGAACAGAACAGACTGTTTAAAACAGTCTTAAAATCTAGTAGTTATTCAATAATAAAACAAAAAATGAGAAAAACAACAACAACAAAAAAACAGTAGCAGGTGTTTGGAATCTGATCTGAAAACCCCAAAATATATAAAAAAGAAGAGTTTGAGTTTTTGTACAGATCAGAAGGTTTTTTTGTCACTGTGCTTTACTCGCTGCACAGTAGTAAACTGCACTGTGCTCCTTTTGAATACTTAAGATAAGCAGAGATCCAGTCTTTGTTGCATCACCACCCAGATCTCCAGTAAGACTGAAATGATCTTTATAGTGGTCTTCCATTGTGACAGCTTTGTAGTACAAATATCCAGTAAGTTTCAGAGCAGTGTCTCCGGGAGGCTGCTGGTACCAGAGCATCAGTCTGTAGTCAGTTTGATTGTGGCTGCAGAAAATCTCCACCTTTTCATCAGGATATTTGATGATATCAGAATGAGACTGATGCACCTCAAGTCCACGACTAAAGACTGAACATATAAAGAAAAAAGTTATTAGTTATAAATGTCAAYACATTATTTCCACATTACTAACAACTTGTTTACTTAAAACAACTTAATACCTGAGAGAAAACCAAAAAGCAGCAAATGGATCATGTTGCCTTCTCAACATAAACTCACAAGTTGTAATAAATGTCTTCAGTAAAGTTCTGCTTTGCTGACTGAGTTTCTGGTGGCTGACAGATGGTGGTGAACAAAACATAAGCTGGGAGGGGCTTGTTGAGAACCCAATAGGTCTAAAAACAAAAACTGAGTGAGTTTTGGATGAAGAAGCAAGTGTTTGCTGTTGATGTGCGTATCTACCTGCAGAGTAGTGGACTGTAGTGTGTTCAGCCTTCAGGTCGGTGATGAAGAGAGAGCCGTTCTTTACCTGTTCTTCACTCATGTCTCCAGCGATGTGAAAATGTTTCTTAAACACTGTCTCATGTTCTATGGTGCTGTAATACACATGTCCAATGGGCTTCAGTGCTTGGTCTCCAGTGGATCTCTGGTACCAGTACATGGTTGTGTAGTCGGTCATTTCATGGCTGCAGATCAGCTGGATTTTGTCTTCAAGTTTTCTGAAGGCTTCTGGAGGTGTTTGCTTGATTTCAACAMCCAAAGAAACAACTAGAAAGGAAATAAATAAATAAAATAAGTATTTATGAAATGTAGAAAAATTAGACTTACCACCTGAATAAAATGATTACCTGTGACCCAAAACATAAGGAAAAATGTCAACATGATGACCTGCGTGTTTAGTGAGGACATRAATCTGTGTGGGTCTATCTTCTCACTACAGTCTCTTAAACAAACACCCCACCCTCCCTCAATTTTTCATACCTGATAGTTTAAACTGAGAAGTCTTTATGGAGCTCCAGCACAATCTACTGGAAAGTCAAACAATAAAGTTGGTATTAAACTAGTATTATACTCAGGGTTGCACATAAACTTTTTGTTCTGGTTCTCAGGGGAGAACCTAGGGTTGTTGCTTGGTGCTCACTCATAT